TCTGACCAAAACACAGAAAAACATGACATCAATACAGTTGCTGAGAAATTTTCAAAGTTTTTCTTAACGTTTCAATCCATTAAAACAGGTTTTGCAAGTCGACCTTCCACAACTAATTTTTAAAATGATCATAACAATGGTTTGGGTCTCAGTGCAAACGTGTACGAAATTTATACCATAAGGCTCGGAAATCCTACCAGTTAAACAAAAATAGCATGAATAAATCTAGGCTACAATCTGCTAGTAAATACTATAAACAAACCATGAATACCTTTATGGTATAATAATGAACGTACATTGCGTGCGCTTAGCTCAAATCAACCGAAAGATTACTGGACTCACTCTTTTAAACCTCATGAGCAAAAACAGTGCCAAAAATGTAACTTAAGAGACATTGCCGATGAGATGCATTATCTGTTAATATGCCTTTTTTCAGAACTAAAAGAAGACAATTAATGTCAAAGAGAATTGAAGGAACTACTTAACACAAATGATAGCCAGACCCTTACAAAACTTTAGCTTAATATATGTTTAATTTGTCCTGAAAAAAATAACGATTGATAACAATCTTTACTTTATTTTTACTTTTTGTGTTTGTTATTCTGTTGTTTTCTTTTTTGTTTTTTTTTAGGGGTTGGGGTTTTTTGGTTGTTTATTTATTTTTTTATTTTTTTTTTTTTTTTTTGGGGGGGGGGGGGGGTGTTACTTTTGTTTGTTTTGTTTTCTTTCCTTATTTTTATTAACCACCTTCATTCGTTGTCATTACAATTATACAATTATGAATAGCCTGTTTCAATGCAAGTTTACAACCGTCCAATGAAACTTTACACCTGTTCTTTTTCCAGATATGTTACGGAAACCCCGTTATTGTTAGGTTTTTTCAAGGTCAGCCCGGTTGTACATAGACCAAATAAAAATTATTGGCTACTTTATTCATAAATATTTGACTATTGTAAGTTCACTGAGTTGTTTTATTGTTGTTAGCTTATTAGAGATTTTTAGCTTGAGCCGAACCGACAGACGAAGACGGAGACGGCTATTTTTCTAAGGAGGCGTTTCAAATGATTTCTTTTAAAGATTGCATTTAGCTATTACTAAAAGCTGTTCATAAGTGTTTTCTGAATATCTAATTTCATTAATCAGAAGATTTCTCGACACTATCTTGGAACTTTGTTTTAAATAAAATCGTTGTATGATAATAAATTTTCCCGAATAATTTGAGCAAGCGGCCTCTTTTTTTCTTTTCGTCTCTGTGTGCGTTGCGGCGTAGGATCTTCTTGTGACGATGAAAGTCCATTAGCAATGTTTTATCTCAAATCTGCTGATGTTCTTGGTTGATTATCCTGGTGGGACTGACCTGCTACTCGACTAGCCTTGTGTTCTCTCGTGTCGACCCCGGCATGCTGAAGACGGTGCGCAATAGCATCTATTGCAATTCCTCTACAAGATAACCGAAACTCATCAGTTTGATATTAAAATACGTTTAATTTGCATATTTGTATGTAATAAGATAAAAAAAAAGTAAAAGAGTAAACCGATCAGGTAAGCAGAATATGAATTATAGTGTGAAATTACAGATTGAATGTTTTGTTGTGTCTTTTTTTTTCTCACCTTCCATTTTACATTTGATATTTATTATCGACAATTTGCGTAAAATTGTCCACGTGAACTCCATGCGGGAAATTTCGCTTTATATGAATGATAAATTATGAAATATTACGGTACAAAAAATAATAGTAGTTAATGAAGTATTGTTAAGTTATTTCAACACAATTGTTTTTATTTCACATGCATACATTTCTCTTATTTTAGGTAACAATGGACAATGAATCAATCAATCAAAAAAAATGAATAACATTTCAAAGGCCTTGATTAATGCTCCCCCGACACCACCTGTTACTTTGGACTTATTTGCATGCTTTTAAAACACATTCGACAAGAGTCTTATCCGATTCTAAATATACAAAAATGATATAAGTTATATACTTTTCTGAATCGTTAAAGACATTTGTAGTGACAAAAAATGTGTTTTCTTTTATATGTTCCATTCGGTTCTTCAAGTGACCTGGAAAACTCCTGAGACAGTTTTAGATCTCTTAGAAACTCTTCGTATTTCATCATTCAAGCCTCAGAAACCTTTTGCAAGAAACGGAGTATTTCTTGTCCTTATTAGGTTTCAATCATACCAGAAGTTTATGATGATGTTGCCATTGTTCAACATATCAGTGCCAAGTGCGACTATGCTATGGAATTAAGGTTGCTTTTCCCGATTTTCTATCTACGTCAAAAACATTTGTCGTTTGGCCACAGGGTCATGAGTGGCAAGCCATGAAAGGTACCTTGAACAGAATTCCTATATATAGCCGTGATAGCAATTGATGGAATTTCTTATGAAATCAATAGCCCTATGAATAAAACACAAAAACAGTTTTATTCAGGATATCGAATATAAAATATATACAAAGTAGGTTTCGTGGTCATCAAAACGATGCCAAGCAGCATCATATGTTACCTCAGATCGGCACTGATTTACCATTTCCACAATAGTGCGTTGAAATTGTCGAGAACATTTATCCGACTTATGACCATATTGTAACACCATACAAGTCAGCTCAAATACACAGTAAAAAGGGGCCTAAACAAAGAGTGCCTAAAACAGAGTTACTGTAGTAAAATACTATATGTGTTTAACTCGCTGTAGCAGAGATTAAACGATACAATCTCTAGTGTATGGAAACATACAGGGAATGCTCTTCCAAAATTGTATATATTTGTACCTATCTTACTTGTCATAAAAGGTTATAGGATTTACTGTTTAATTATTTAATTGAATAATTAATATTTTGAGATAACCCACGAATATTCTACCCGGTGTTTGTATCCGGCTATCGTTAACCGTACACGCTGAAAATCTCTATTTAGAACTCAAATCATGTTGGATTTTTACCGCATTTAAATAGATACTTCAAATATTGTCCGCTTTCCTCCTCGAATACGGAATCACTAAAATCCAAAATAATAATTAATATGAATAATTTTGATTATGTTTTTATCCATGCTAATAATCATTAGTGCTATTTTTTTGTTCACATGTTATTGCTTGATACATGTTAAAGTTATTTTTAGTTATTGAATTATGCAATCTGTGACAACTAAAAATAAAGGGATTTGTGTTGTATTGTAGTGTTACAAAGATAACGCTTAGAGCATGCTTTAATTGACTTATGTTTCATGTATGTGTTGGAGCTATTTTAAGACTAGTCTAGATATATTTATTGTGAAATACAAAACTGGTGGTTTTAAACATGTTGTAGTGCCATATCTTTCGTTCTATTATTAAATTGTAATTTAAAGATTTTAACTGTAATTATATAAGATTTCACGGATATATGACTGCATGAATGAAAAATATCATTTCACCCTATAAAATTGTAGAAATCCAGCCGTTCAAGCAATTTAGTTAATATCAGCTCAACCATAATCCTCATCTTAAATCTCCCTTTACCAGCAAGTTGTTCTGTCATTTTTTCATTAACTAAACAATGTTTATACTAACCGTCATTGATTTATGTTTCATCTATTTTTAGAATGAACTATGTTTAACAATGTATAAGACCACAACCATATAATTATTTTGATTTGCCACTGATACGACATACCATGAACATAAAAACTTCCTTTCATGGAATTTTTAAGCTATTTTTGGATGTTACGTAATTGAACAAAACTGTCAGTATTATGTCGTAAGAAAAGTGAAAAGGTAAGAATTTACAAAATATACATTTAACAGAATTACAATCATCTATTTACTTACAAAATCTATTCTTATGATTTTGGGGTTTTTGTGTGATATACATTGACCGAACGGTGATAAAAACAAAAATGGAAAAACCGATATTTATTTTTATGCACATGTAATCGCTAAAATATTAAAGGCAAAGGAATTATTGAATGTAAGTGCTTTAAATATTTTCGAATACAACATGAAAGACTTATTTTATTTATTTTCATTTTCACAATTACACTAAGTATTTGAAATAATGTGAGGCATTAATCGATTGATAAACTAAGATTTAAATTCATTTTTATATGGTAAACCTAAAACGATAGACAAAGGAGTGAAGTATTAATTAAATGTGTGTTACCGTATTACATATTTACAGTATTAAATCGACTATAGAGTGTCATATCAGTTTGCCAATTGGCGATTCATCAAGCATGTTGATTGTAATAATATTTTCGTTTCCAGCCATCTATCTAAACCATCATAACATAACCATTTAGTTTCTCCCTTACTCTTAAGGTTATTAGTCATATTTGATAAAGGAATAAAGAACGTACGTAAGTTTAAAGATCTGAATCCAGCTGTTTTCTGCTTGCCGTTTTATCGTAAACAAGTAGTGTGGATACACTGATAAATTAAAAGGGAAACAATCCAGTTTTATGATTAACAATTATCTAGTATTTTGTTAGTTCAAATAATAATAAGTTACAATTGCCGAGATTATTTCTTCATACACTGACAGCTTTAACCATTTACCTCAAATTTCATATATATATATATATGTCTTATTATCACTCAAGTCATTTGGGAGAAGGCTCAATACTCTAACTTGATTATTTCCGCAATTATGGACCCCTTGAACATAGATTTATTCCAGATTTTTATTTTTTACTCAAACTTCTTTTTTTATAGCATTTACTTCGAACTCCCACATCATACTATGACAATGGGTTATAAATCTAGGGTCCATATTTCCAGAATTATTTCCTCCCTAAACTTTACATTTTTCTTACTCATTCTTTATTTATTTTTTCTCCATGGATTTACAAATTTAAAATATTTAACGACATTTATTATCAACACCTATTTCCTGTGTGACTAAATTTGTAAGACATAGGTTTCAATGATTATTTTCATTTTGAACTTTCTTGAAAATTTTTATTTTTTTAATTTTCTTCATGGTGACTATAAATAGTATCTTCTTTAAACTTCAGATAATTGTTCTTCGTTACACTCACATCATTAGTCAATAACTGTCAGTTTCATAGGCCAATAACTGCCACTTATTTCTAAAGATGGAGGTAAACTACAAGAAAAAAAAGTTTGCACCAGTCTCTGAAAACCTCATTCGGCAGGTTGAAAAGTATTCGGATCTCTGTGACATGACAGTGAGGCATGGACAATGGGTAAATAATGTTCATTATCAACAAATCCTGGCATAAAGACATTAAGCTAATTCATTTATGCTCAATACGACTTTATAAATTGTAGCATTAAAATATTTATGATTAAATTAGATTTGAGGTGCATGTAAGCCTCCGTAAAAAGAGAAAATATTATGTGTAACCTAAGGTTTGGATGATATATATATTATTTAAGCATTGGTTTATCTATTTCAGGAAAAGAAGTTTCACCGATGTGTTTTATCTGCGAGTCCATTTTTTAAAAGCATTATTCGAGCGAAATTAAACTTTATTGAAGGGGCGACAGGTAAGCATTCTATTTTGAATAAAGATATACATATAGCTTTATAGGTGCAAAATCTGAGCTTTTGAAACGGCGTTGATTAGATAATGAAACCTTCAATAAGAAACTTTCGAGCCTTTAATGAAGCTTAAAGGTATCATTTACAAATATTTTATAAAAGAATACGGCTTGATTTAAAATGAGAATGACTGCTGTAATATTAAGCTCTACAGCAACAACAACAACAACTTTCTGTTTTATATTTGTAAATTGATGGTCATATCATGTTGAGACAAATGCAACTCATTTTAAAAGATTACAATGTCGATTTAAGAGATTTAATGGTTCTGAATATAAGCAATATATCAAAATTGTTTTGTTTAACTAGGAGTTGTTGACTTAAAGATGGAAACAACACCAGAAGATGTGGAAATGGCACTTCTGTTCCTATATGGACGAAACCCTGATTTAACATTTGACAATATAGAAGGTATGCTGGAACTTGCTGAATTTTTCATGATCAAAAATTTAAAATCATATTGTATTTTTTGGCTTCAAAATCAGACACTTACAAATGATAACTGTATATCTGTGTTGCAATTATCCACAAAATACAACTTTAAACTGAACAATCTTGACTGTTACATTGAAAGCAATCTGCATGAGGTGTTTCGAAATAAAGATGCGACATCCATATCAAGGGAATCGTTGGAATATTTTTTCTCTGATAAAAAGTTCACATACGTTTCAATGGATGAAAAATTGGTATTCCTTGCTGCTTGGGTCACACACAACCATAGTGAATCAGAGGAAACCATAATAAGTCTGTTTAACAAAATTGATAAAGATGAATTATCATATGAAACTGTCCAGCATGTCAAGACGATGTCTGCTTTTAATACAATCATTGACTTAGAAGCTGTGAACATTATTGAAACAAATGCGACCAACAGGCAAGATGTTTTGATACTGTTTGATAGAGAAACATTACACTTTACGTGCTTCAACTTTTATAAAGATCGATGGTATTGGTTGAACAACAGACCGGGTGATCTTCGAAATGCATATTCCTTCAGAAGAAATGCTGGGATTACTGGCATACGAAGTAGTATTCCTGAAATTTACTCTTTCTATGATGATTATCGATACTTGCAACCCACTGTGACAAGTATAAATCTCGAAACAGACGAAAGAAACACATATCACCTCAGTATTAATGATGACGAAATACTAGAAAATGAACTTAGAAATGTACGTTTGAGGAATAATATCGTCATTGGAACAGTAAAGAAAGTCAGACGCTGTTGTATCAAAGTAAGAAGTCAAAGTAAAAAGCAAACTAGTACGACACTCACACAACTACAATTTCTCGAGCAAGACACTTTGACATGTATATTTGATAGCGATTCCGAGGAACATTTACGGCGCACTGATAAAGATGACGTCATTACAAAAACTGTTAATTACACTGATTTTTACATTGGACATATATCAACAGAGGGCGAACCTGAGCTGTCTCCGATATTTTCATTGCGAAATATTGATATTACAGATGCGTGTATCGGGAATAATTCTACAGTTGCCCTGCTTACAGAATCTGGAAAGAGTGTTGTACTGTTTGATTTGTTTGCATTTCAGATTGAAGTGGTTGACATAACGCCAGATGAAGACTATAAAATCGATGAAACTGATACAGGATTTGTAATATACAACAATACACGTTGTTCTTGTATCTCAGGTGCGTCAGGTCAATCGCTATTGAAGACATATTGGTTGAAAGAATACGATTTTGAAGAAAGTAAAGAACGGGATGTACAATACCACTACAGCAATGGTGTGTGGTTTTCGGTTTTGAATAAAGATGATGATGTTAGGATTCAGTTTACAACCCATGAAACAATATTAAAACGTCAATTTAGAAATATAAAATGGAAATCTATATATTTACCAGAAAACGTTGGCGACATATCTGAACAGCTTTTGAATAATAGGAATATTTTTGTTGTATCCATATCATCAAGGAAACTGCGATGTCCTATTGCATGCCTTCATTGCACTTTTACATGTGATCCATTTATTTATAAATATTACTATTCATCTCCAGAATCATCTGATTGGGAATCTAGAGAATTTCCAATGGGAGATAGCGTTGATTCAACAGATACCTCGACACTCTGAAAACTATTTTACCTTTCTTGGAAAATAATTATTTAATTATTTTGCAAATTATATTTGGCTATTTTACTTTATTTCACAGATTATTTCCAATGTTTTCTTTTCATGAATAAATGTTAAAAAGGAATGTGTACATGTATATTATTTATTCTTTTAAAGAAAGAGGCGAATACGTAATTTTAGTATATACTTCTTGTATTTTTGTTTGTTAAATTATATTGTAGCGATCAAAACCACATGCAATGTATTATTCATATGATATTGTACTAATTGACCATATATGCAAATAAACTTGAATTAAATTGCAATGACATTTGGAGCAATACATCGCTTTTCATGGATTTCATGGACTAAAACGACACGACGGACACAATGAAGATTCAATGATTACCACCGTATGATCACGTTTGCCGAATGTTGAATTCTTTTTTATCGTTGACGACAGCTTGCAATAAAAAAAATATTTTAATGAAACCGAGCCTGCAACATTTTTATTTTCGCTTTATTGGTTGTCCTCTTGGCATTCTGTTTTTCTCTATAGAGAACTTAAGTCAGGTAACGCGAATGGTGTACAACTCAAACATTTTTCGACACCAAGAAATACTTAACAGTCACGCTGTTGTGATAGGAGGCCTTGCCATGTAAGATGGACTCCTGACCATACTCCGTGTTAAAAAGATGGACTTTCTTTATTGTAGAACGCCTTCATTTTCTTTCAGGACTTTAGTTTTGTAAAACATTTTTCTTTTCCGCTTTGTGAGCAAATGGGGAACCCGACGAGCGCAAACCTTTCTTAGATCCAAATTACCAGTTTACTGTTCGGATTTGAATGATTTCTGCCTACTTATATGCAAGTTCCACTAACTAACTTCTTTACTGGCAAGCATGCATCCTGTTCTACTATATCCTGTACAGCTGCAATATTCGACTAGTTGAACGAGTTGTTAGGCCTACATAAACAGTAGTCATCTTTTACAGATGTTTCCCCGCTTAAGTAGCTTTGACACACCTAAAGAGTGTATGCTTTGAAATTACCTGAGCTCTGTATATATATTAACAATATATATAACGATTCATTGCACATCTGCGTTGCATGTATATTAAGCCTAATGCGACATTTCATGTAGCTTCTAATTTAATTTGTGTTGTCCATTGTACAAATCAAGTATTTAAAATACTGAGGATAAAACCTCGGAAACGTATAAGTGACTCAATTCTGTAATGAGTAGTTTAAAATACCTCACTCATTTGTCAATAATCAAAATCGTCTGTTCTATCGTGTGGTGTGTATTTTGTTTAAATACACATTGTATTTATATACAATATCAATATCAATATGTTTCTTTCTTTTTTTAACAAAGACTTGTTGATTGTTGTACAGTAACTAAACAATGGCATGGAAATATGACGAATTCTTGTCGGTGTTTTCAATGTAATAAACTTAAATCAATTTTAAATTTTGAAAGCTACCTTTAAATTGAAATACAATTTAAACATACTATTCGTTGTTCCAACCATAAATCATGCATAGAAATAGGCCCAAAGAAAAGAACGATTGTGTACAACTTGTTATAATAACATAGATTATGTGTACCATGCTTATATAATTATGTAAAAATTCGAAATACAATCACATTTGCGATAATTATTCATTTAGTTAGCATCTGTATTAATAAGTGGACGTTATACCACAATAAAGAAGATTGTATTTAATGTATATGTTAAATGGATAATATAAGCAACTAGTCTTTGTTCCAAAGCATGGGTACCTGAGAAGAACCATCGATGTTCCTGAAGTTAGATGGATAACAATTTGGGCATACCACGTGACTTTCGGGTACGGAACACGCCGATCCCCCCCCCCCCGATTCAGGTATGTTTTTTATTCATAACTTATTTATTACTCAACCGATTTTCATCAGATAAGGCGCAGAGTACCCGTAATTATATCAGCTTTCCACGGTATATCAAAATTCTGACAACCCCTTAATGGTTTTTGAGAACATTCGAGTACAGTTTTCTTATCATAGCCGGGGCCGAGGGGAACGGTTTACACTCATTTGTCATTAAGAGCGATTTCTAGCAAGTCAGATGTTTTTTGTCACTATTTCATAGAAAAATACATGTTAAATCTGATATATTTACTATGTCCAATGTATCGAGTGAATGCAGTGATGTTTTAGCAGATTTTCATAAAATTATGTTGAAATGGTACGGAGCACACTGTTATTTCAAAAATAACGGTACACACATACTTTCTGTCTTTGAAATAATTCTAAAATAAAATATATGAAATTTTAATTTAAATTATAACGTGAGTGATTTTTTTTCATAGTTATACATTTTATTAATTTAAACGAGAACCATGGGACCTTTTTTGCAATGTAGCATTATGCTTATTGAAGTTATTGAAGGTGTAAACATGATTATTCAAAAAATAAAAGAACATTTCGAGAGTACGTCGGGCAATATTCGATTTTAAATGTTGAGCAATTAATATTTGGCTATAAAGTGTTAATATTTCAGTGAGGGATACGGAAGACATTCAAAATTTTGTTCACTTTGTTTTTTTCATTTGAAAAAATTATGTATATTTTTTCGGATTAAAAAACGAATTGTGAAATTCATGGACATCTGTTTAGTGTCATTTTCTTTCATTTAATTTATTTGTTCGAATATATAAATGACTGTCTAAACCGAGTATGAATATAAAAAAACAAACAATAAGTTAGGAGTAAGTTGGAAATATATATTCCTTGCAAAATCGAATATGGAGAAAAAACGCTGCTTTTGTTGCAAGTGGATTTTTTAAATCACGGAAAGTTTAAAGTATTTTATCTGCCACATGATATTTGGTATGAATCATCTGCAAGGGTCCCAAACTAACTGCATGTATTTAAATTATCAAATTATCTACATATGGACAAAGATATTCCGCAGTTTTACGTGCAATCAAAATTAAAAGCCGGATAATTTGAAGAACCCATATGGGAACAAGGCCTGTAATATAACGTAACGTAGTTTATACAAGGTAATTTTGTTACATATACATGTAAGAAATTTTGGTAAAATTATGCCTATCTTTGACTTTCATTTAAAGATGCTTTAAAAAATGAGTTCATGGATAACTGTGTTTGCGTGTTTGTGTTAAAAATAAAATGATATTTTAATAATACCCATTTTGTCAATCAAATGCTATGGATTTTGGAGGCTGCGTTCTGTTTTATATACTACATGAAGTAGGCACGAGACCACAAGTGACTTCGATGTTTTGATTTTTATGTGAGCAAGTTTTCTAACTACCGTACAGAACGTCGGTCGTTCTACTCAGATGCCCGTTCGTACCTTTATTTATACCCAAAGGGGCACTTGTAAAACTGGAAAGTCGCCACATGATCATGTCAGTTTTGGTGAGCCGTGAAACCAAACCAAAAATGACCTATATTTCCTGAATTAAAATTTATTTTTAAAGCTTCATGTCTTTAAACATTAAAAATTTAAGCCATGGCAACTACATTTTTATTTGTTTGGGTCGTCAGACAAACAAATAGTGGTAGCGAAATTTAAGACTCTGATATGCTTATTTGCAAAATTTAGAAAGTAGTCCGAACTCCTCGAAGCGGTTACTTACCTTTATAAGTACTCTAACGCTGTAAAATGAGGACAGATCACTGCGTAAAAATTGTCACATGACAGGCGCATTAATTTTCAAGCCTTTCGGGGGAGAAAAGGTAGTTCCCGATTGGTCAAGATTTCAAATTTTGTGTAATTCTTTACAGATATACATGTAATATTAAGCTCCATGATTATTTACATCAGTGTTAAACGAAATTAATAAGGGTTACAAACCCTAATTTAGAATGATATGGTTTTCTTCAGGCCGTTATCTTATAGATCTATCTACCTCGTGGTCAAGGGGTTGTACACGCTCGTTTAGGAAGAGATATGTCCCGAGTTCAAATCCCAGTTAAGGCAACAAATGTTGTTTTTCTTTTTTCTTTATTTGTTTAAGCCAAATAAACTTTGAATTGAATATCAGTGTTGCAATAAGTCTTACAGCCAATTTACTACAGTTATAACACTGGAAACAGCATTGGTGGCACTATACAAAAACAAATTGGTTTAAAATCTCACATAATATATATATATAATGTTATCAAGTAATGATATTTTTCAGCAATTTAGGTCATGACCTTGTTTTATTTTTTCAGGATAAAGCAAAAAGACATATCTTACACTTCACTAAAACTAAAAGAAATAAAAAACATCAATAATAAACAACAATAAACACAGCATTATAACAACATTTTTTTCTATAGAACAATCATTTTGTAAACGCAACTACATGATTCTGTGAACATCGAAGTGTTTCACATACCCTAGGTGATTTTAAATAGGGCTGTTAGAAACGTATTTATTTCTAAGTACTTCAGATTTGTGAACGTTGTTAATGGCGTCAATTTGTTACGCTACTTTACGCGACGTAAGATGTTTACGTCGACGTCATCATTTTGTTTTGTTTTGTTATTGAGAATCTCGTCATTTTAAATCTGGAACTTGATGTATTGAGACAAGTCAAAATCGGTATGTTTAGTTTAACAAAATAATGCGATTGTTTTAAAAGATAATTTACAGTAAGATTTAAATTTAAAGGTACAAAATTCTAATTAGATTTATTGTGTAATTCATATATAATTTATTGATGATGTGAATGTTTTTATGTTTATTATTTATTGCGAAGTACAAATTGTAAATGAATATTTCAGAGAATCGCTTATCAACGCTTACCAACGCTTATTGACGTTTATCAAGGAATAAAAGTTAAAAGCGCATACTCGTTTAGATTTATATTTGAAGTAGAACCCAAGTTCCCGAACAATTCTCGATTATTTCAATATGGAGGAAGTATCTACCGAAAATGGAACAGATCCTACGCATGAGGATTTTGGTAGTGTTAAACGTTCACGTTCTTCGCTACTCGGAAAATTGACCCGATTATACAAAGACTTAGAACTGAAAATGATATCACATGAGAACGCAGATGAGGTACAAATATTGTATGACACGTTGTGTGAGCGCTTTGAATCATTTAAATCAACACATTTGTTATGCTTAGACTTATGCTCAGACCCGGATGTACGGAAAACGCTTGAATTGAATTACGAACATTGTAGTCAAAACTTCTTTGAGTGCCAGGAAAGATTTTCACAGTGGAAATCTGTGCAGAAAATACCTGATGATGATGTTTTATCTACAGTTAGCAGTGCAAATTCCGTGTCATCACAGGCAAAGTTGAAAAGTGCGAAAGCAAAACGTTTGATTGCGGAATTAAAATTAAAATCATTGGAGAAAAAACATGGACTCGAATTAGCGCGAAAGGAACTCGAATTTAAACAGCAATTACTTGATCAACAGGTCGTTCTTGAAGAAGCGCAGATAGAAGAATCCGTATGGCAAGAAAATTGTGTTAACGCGGATGAATCTTCAAAGCAGACGATATTAAT